TACTTAATTTTTTTGGTATTAATTAGAAAGTGATCTAAATTTTTACGGTCTTGTTAATTTTTTATGGTGAATGTAGCTACCAAATAGTTTACTTACCAGATTTTTATGATCGGATTAAATCGTTATCATTTTTTTAACTAAATAGAACTAAAATTGTTTTTAAATAGAAAAGTTTACTTTTTTGCTTTTATTGAATATTTTTGCCACTAAAAAACTTTTTAGCAAAAAAAAGAAACATATTATTTGAACCTTACCACCAATTATATAATTTTAGCAAGAGAAAACTTTACTCTATCCCCTTGAAATTTAATCCAATGTGTAAATTCTTTTTTTCTTTTTTTGACATCTTTTATAAGTTCTTTCTAAGAGCAACATTATCACTGATACTCGTAAAGTCTCTTAAACAATTTTTATTATTAACTTTAATGTTTGAGACACTTGATACATCTCAACCGTCTCGGCCACATGAGACATTTCAATTTTGGGAAGTGCATTTTTTTGTTTTTCTATTTTATTTAGTTATATAAGACTCTTTATAGTTTCACCGATAATGATGTTCTATTTTATTTTAATTATACAGACTTTTTATAGTTTCATCGATAATGATGCTCCAAAAGTTGTGAACTAGTATTAATATATTGTTAATTTAAATGATATAAGCAGTAAATTTGAAAAAGAAGACTGTACAATATGCTGCTACTAAATAGGTTTATATATCATCATCGTCGATCGTCGTCCAAGAATTGGTCCTGGTAGGAAAAAGTTGCAAGTGGCAATCCCAATTATCTCGCGATGGACCCACTGTTGATATTTTATTTCGCGTTGATAACGACAAAAATAAAACAAAATTGATGATTTTAGGTAAAATTATCATGAACAAACGAAGAAAATCATAAAATGAAAATGGTTATGTCAAATTGTTTATGTGATATTGTGACCTGACAAAAAAAAAAAAGTGATATTGTGACGTATCGATGTGAACACATACACACGTGTATAACGATGGTCAACGTCTTGTTATAATTACAACGCCCGACGTGGACAATACAATTGACACGTGTGCGAAATTTGTTGGACGACTTTTTCTGGACGGCCGATGATGTAAGCCCAAGCCGTTTCGTTTTTATTGTAAGGCCCATTAACACAGTTTCCTCTTTTTCTTTCTATTTTTGGTTATAATCACTTATTTAAAATTATCAGGTAATGGACCCCACTTTTATTTCCGTTGACCCACAGTGACATCACTTTGACCGTTACTCACTGCCCACTCCGTCTGTTTTATTTGTCCTCTTTGGTAAGGAAACATGCCAAATGTGAACAAATGAAAAAAGTTAAAATTAGAGTCTAATTAGTATTACATGAACATAAGTGAACATGGAGAAATATGAACATACAAAACTCTCACCTATACAGCTATACGAAACAACGGATTATTTGGTCAGAAAACACTAATGCCGTGTTTGTTTATTTGCGATTGTCTGCGTGTAAGAGTTTATTTGCGAAGAGATTCAGATGGCTAAATTTAGTATCTATATGATTAAGGTTCGTTTGCGAATATCCCTGTGTAAGAGTTATGGATATTTTTTAGCTTTCTTTTTCTATCGAAGGTCAAGAAATTTAACAAACTAGTTAGCTCGCCTTCACATAGTTCTTGGAGAGGGCGTTTGAGTGTAGTTGTTTAGCTATGTTCCCTCTCGATTTTGCGTTTGTTTTCTATGTGTGCGGTTGCTGGTTGAATTTGTTTTGGATCCAACGTCGCAAAGCCCGGTCTTCTAGAGTTGTCTTCGTACTTTGATCCTGATCGCAGCTTCTACGTTTTCACGTTCTCAGGAAAGTCCTGAGTGTCTCGGTTAAGTTGTTTAATTCTAGTATTGATGACTCTTATCTCTAATCCGCCACTCCCCTATTGAGGGCTCTTATGTGGGTTGTTGGCTCCGGACGGGTTTGTTTCCTTGCCGGCTTATGTGAAATATGCGTAAGGCTATAAATTGAGTTGGATAGTAATTACTATTTGCAGCTCAGTGCAGTCACATAACATTGTTGCAGAACGAACAAACAAAACGTTCTAAAAGTTAAAAACTTTTTTATTTTCGAAAGG